CCCGAGGTCCCCGCCCCCGGCCTCCCCCGCCAGCCATTACTGAAACTGACCAGCGGCTGACTCTGGGAAGCCCCGGGGCAGAGCAGCTGGGGTGCTGCCAGGTTGGTCCCGCAGTGCCGAGGGGTGCATCCCCCCCACTCCACCCCAGAGCCCTTATAGCCCCCCCTTCCGATAGTCTGGCATATTTGATAATCCAGCACCCCCTGGGTCCTATAGGTGCCGGATTATCGGAAGTTTACTGTATTATGTAAGGCCTAACAATGAATTTTGTGGCATTCCACTAGATAGCTCCTCTAATTTGATATCCTGCTGTTTATCATTATCTTTTGTGATAGTAAAGCCAGTTTTTAATCCATGTGACAGTGCTTGTGGACAACCATTTTGCATTAATTTTGTGTGTAGTATTCTGTAAGATCAAATGTTTGATTAAGAGGCAAGAGTGGCCACAATTCTGTGACCAGATCTGCTCAAGCAGATCTATTCCCTCAAGCAGAGTCATACTGGGTCTTAAACAGCCGGACCAGGACGTAAAAGTGTACACGTACTGTAGTTCCTTAAACCCTCATTATATAAGAAATGTGATCAAAGCTGTATGTCATTATTTGTTATTTATAATTTATATAATCACATTCCTTTTTACTTTCAGTTCCATTTCCGTTTCACGTCTTCCACTATTTTAACAGAGATTGCGAGTTAAATATAATGACAATTATATATTTAAATAAATGAGCTCTGGCACCATTCTTGTTTGACTCTTTATATAATGTAGTTGGAAAATGGTCTTTTTTTTAGCACCATAAAAACCAAAATCAGTACATGTGAGCCAAGCATCAACCCTTCAATCCAATTCAGTGTATTTATACACACACACAGAGAGAGAGAGAGAGAACACAGAGAGAGAGAGAGAGAGAGAGAGACTGCACCTTACCATATTTCAGCTAAAACTGATGACGGTAGACCTGACTGCAAGAAAAAGGTACGTGCCTGATCACCTGTGACAAAAGAGGGGGAAAAACAAGCTTTACAGTAATACATTACAATAAAATCACAGATATTAAAGCCAGAACTTTCAAAAGAGTTCAGCATGATGGGTGCTGAGATCCTTTGAAAGTGTAAGACCTGCGTAACACGCTCTTCGTAATGGCAATTTTCATATACTAATGTACTTTGTACTCTTGGCACCAAGAAATGGGTTAAATAGCTATAAATAGTTGTTTTATGTATCACAAACAAAAGCCAAGAGCTTATAATGGCACAATGTAAAGGATGGAGTACTCAGGCTCAGCCTTGTTGACTCCTTTTTTTATTGTTGGTGGCAGTGGGAACAAGGGGAAGAATAGTAAATATTTTGTATTTCAATCTGTTCCATCTACAGGAGAAAACTTCAAAAATAAACCCAGTTCTGTGTATAACACACAATTCCATCAGATAGACTTTTATTACTCAGTATTTCCAGGAAGGGATATGATCTGCATGTTAATCCACATCAAGTTTCAGACCTATCAGTATGGCGCACACTGCTGAATACATGCATAGAAATTCAGAAGTTTTTGTGTATGAACATTAGTCAGTTTTCAAGATTTAGCATTCATGTTTATTCAGGAAAAAATAATTCTTCATTTCAAAGTATGTTACAAACACCAAAGTACAGGCAGTCCCCGGGTTACGTACAAGATAGGGACTGTAGGTTTGTTCTTAAGTTGAATTTGTATGTAAGTCGGAACTGGTACATATTGTAGGGGAAACTCTAGCCAAACATTTCTCCAGAGCTCAGTTTTATTCTCCCACACCTCACTTCCCTCAGCCCTTTATTCTCAAGCTGAGGTGTCTGCTGAGAAAAGCCGCTCCACCTCTCCCTGGTCTGCTGGGCGGGGGGAGGGGGACGCGCTAGCTTCGCATCTCCCTAGTCTGCTGGGGGGAAGTAGCTAGTGCGGGGGTGCCTCACCCCGGTTGTAAGTAGGGATCCGATGTAAGTCGGATCCATGTAACCCGGGAACTGCCTGTATTGCTTCTTTCACGCTGACAGGCATGAATACAAATATTAAGGCAAGACTACACAACACACAGGCCCCATTTAAGTTAGTTCTGCTGAGATTAATAAAATACAATATTTACCCCATTTACAGCCATATGACAGCACTTTTAATGAGCAATGACAGTCCACGAATTTAACTACAGCCTCTTCCCGACTTACGAACCAGTTACGGACCAAGCAATTGGTCATAACTCCGTTCGTTCTTAAGTCGGACCCCATAGAGTTACACGCGACCGTGCTGTTCGTAAGCATGAATCGCGTTTGTAACTCGGGGTCCGCCGTTTACGACAGCTTTGGTCAGAACTGTGAACAGTCGTAAGTCGACCGTTTGCAATTCAAGGACCGGCTGTACTAAAGGCAGCGGGCGTGGGGAGGCACTTTTCCTCTGCCCGGCAGCTCTGCGGGACCCCAGTCGGAGCCGGCCCGAGGAGGAGGAGGATCCTAGGACCCAGGTGAGTGAGCCCCGGGAATGCTGCTGCGCATGTGCGGGAGTTGCCTCACCCCTGTTCGTATCTAGGGATCCGACGTAAGTCGGATCCACGTAAGTCGGGGACTGCCTGTATTCACTATTTAATTCCAGCATTTTCTGGGATGGAACACAGTAGATTTTTACATTGTAAGGTAAGAAATGTTCAGTACAATGGAGAGTATAGGAAGGTAGTACTGGAAGGTAGAATGCAATTATTCACACTGGAATTTGGGGAAGACAGAGAGGTTAATATTCAGTTGTGATAAATTCCATAGACTACTTTATGAACACAAGTTGTCAGGGCCTTAATTTTATATTTCATATCAAAGAATTAAAACTCCAGCAACACAGTGCCCGTCAACACCATTCAAGGGAAAGATGGTGATTGAGGAAGTAGCAATGTCATAAGCTGCAGAAACTTCAATACATTTTTCTTGACATCCTTCTATCCATGCCCTGAGCTGGCTGGACTCTACTTAGCTTATGAAACTGAATGGGTTGACAGCAAAAGGCTACCTTAGTAGAGAGGTTAATAAGCATGTCCCCTTTGCAGAGACCTGTGTCAGATTTCAGCCAAAACATTTTTTTCAAGCTTATGACTGAAAGATTTTATAATAAAAACCTGTGATTTAGGATCAGGCAGCATGGTTATCAGTCATACAGCATGGCTGAACAAGAATGCACATTTTCAGTCTTTTTTACATAGGTACTTTAGTGCGCATACAAATGAATGTATAACACGTACTAACCTGTAATATATCCTCCTATGGGTTTAAGGCTATCAAACTGCTTGTCATGCTTTGCTCGCTCTTCAGAAGTGATAGCCCACATGTTTGGTCCTCCTAAAAAATATATCGGAAATATTATTTCAAAAATAAAAAAAATCTGTCAAATGGGAAATTAAACCTTGTTTTTATGAGATAAAATTAGCTCAAGAGCTTCAATGACACATGCTGTTCTCTTTGGTAAGAATGCTGCTGAAACACTGAAACTTTCTTCCCAAACGTATAAGTCTTAGGTGAATCAGTTCACCATCTGGCTTGTATTATACTCTGCTTTGAAACAATCTGTGATGTTTTTTTAAAGCTGGTGCACAGCAGCTTCCTTCCACTGCTGATTGTTCATAATTTAGCCAGGAAACATGTTGTTCATACTACTTTGTGTGAACCAAATATTTCCTTGGTACACTGGTAAACAAATAATGTTGTTTAAAGGCTCTCAGGCAGGAAAGCCTTCAAAGGTTAATGCGCAGGACAGTCAACTGCAGGACTTGTACTACTTCTCCCTAACGCTGTAAAATCAAAATTGTTGCTTTAAAACAAAACAAAAAACAAAAATCACTTCTGTGAAACCTTTTATTCCTGACAGCATACAGTTTCATATAGCCTTGAAAAAAAATATATAAAACACCACCATCCTAAACTGACAATTACACCTCTTCTGTTAGTCTATACATTTGCCATAATTATAACATCTGTTCTTTTTGTTGTGCTATGCAGATCAAAACCAAGGGGTGGATTTTCAAAGTACCTAATTACACCAAAAGAGGAAGAGATATGCATATGGGAGGGATAAACAATGGTTAGATATTACTACATAGTATGAAAATATTAAAATTAAATTTTATTTTTAAAACATGGCCAACTGTGAGACAAACTTTCATTTGGGGGAATTTTAACACCAGCTCTCAATTTTCATTCAACAAAACTAAACTTAGCCAAAATTCCCAAGGAAAAAGTCAAACACATAACCAAAGTTTATTACAAAAAAATGCTGCCTGCTGCCCCACGCTGCTGCCTCTGATATAGAGGCGGCGGGAAGAAAGGGTAGGAGGCTCTACAAAGCTGGTGCTCACGGGGAGCCAGCTTTTAAGAGAGGCAGCAGTGTGGGGGTGGGGAGAGCGGCTTCCCATGTGTACCGGCACCCTTGTCCCCCTCACCCTCTCCGCCTGCTGCCCCTCTATCAGAGGCAGCAGCACGGGGTTGGAGAGGCATGCAACTCCACAGGATCTGGTGCTTGTGGGAGCCATCTCAAAAGTCAACTCCCTACTGACACCGACTCTCCCCTCTCCCTGCTGCCTCTGATATAAAGGCAGCAAGGGGTGGGGGGGAAGCACGTGTAGTCGTTAGGATTAACCAATAAACCCAGGCTTATCAGTTAATTGTTTACACAACTATACACAAACATCCCTAGTTTGAACCATTTACTAATTCACAAAGAATAAGTTCTGGTCTATGAAAGCACTTCTAATACTGGCAGGTTATAACATATCACACCTTGAACAGTCACACCACTCTGATTAATATCTGGATTTTTCATAAATTCTCTTCCATTCACACAAAATTTTAACTATTTGTTAGGATTGAAAGTTTTATTCTTTTTATATTTCTTATCTTAGGTTTAGTAATGTAAGGTAATATATACAATCATATTTAATATTGTAGTAAGTCAAATTTTTAGTTAAGTATATATGGGTATGTCTACACTACCACCCTAGTTCAAACTAGGGTGGTTAATGTAGGCAACCGGAGTTGCAAATGAAGTCCGGGAATTGAATTTCCCGGGCTTCATTTGCATATTGCCGGGCGCCGCCATTTTTAAATGTCCGCTAGTTCGGACTCCGTGCCCGCAGCTACACGCGACACGAACTAGGTAGTTCGGATTAGGCTTCTTATTCCGAACTACCGGTACACCTCGTTCCACGAGGAATAACGGTAGTTCAGAATAGGAAACCTAATCCGAACTACTTAGTTCGTGCCGCGTGTAGCCGCGGGCATGGAGTCCGAACTACCGGGGCTTTAAAAATGGCGGCGCCCGGCAATATGCAAATGAAGCCCGGGAAATTCAAATCCCGGGCTTCATTTGCAACTCCGGTTGTCTACATTAACCACCCTAGTTCGAACTAGCTTGGTAGTGTAGACATACCCTATCTTCTATAGTTCCTTGCTCTAAAGTTTTAATAAGTAAAGAGACAGGATCTCATATTGTGTATATTGTTAATGAGATTAAAAATATTGAAGGCCCGGGCCTTCAATGTGAATTGTTTTGATTTTAATTTTGCTTAATATAAAACAGCATTGTTTACCTTTGAAGGATTCTGTGTGAAAGAATGTTTGTCTGAATGAGATACGGTGTGAAGGTCGTCATTATAGCCAGATGGTCAAAAGAGAAGGGGGAGAATGTGGGGGAAGACAAACTGTAAAAGACAGACTGCGAAGAGCTGAGAAATCGTCAGTGCATACCCATGGTCAAGAATGGATCATACTGGCAGAATTGACAGCTCTAAAGGTGAAGGGCGGGCACCCCTAAAAACAACTGATTAACAATCCAGGACAGGATAAGCCTTCAAGAGATGTTTGGGAACAGCTGACATCAACAAGATAACATTCCGGTCACAGGCTGACAGAGTGGAATCCATTGATTTTACACAGAGAAAAGGATTATAAAAGCAGGATGCTTTGCTATGGAACTTTGGGTTCGTCTGCCACCATCACCAGAGAAGCATCAGATCGCGACTGACAAAAGCCCTGCTCCCACCATGTGTTCGATCTAGCTGGCCACTGGATTGACACAGACTCCGGACTGGTAACTATGATATCTGGCAAGACTGTGTATGTATAATGTTTTGATGTGTGTGTGATTGAAAAGCATATGCAACTGTTGTATTCTCAATAAATGCGATGCACTGCCTTTTCCCCTATAAAAGATCTCACGTGCTTCGTTTAAGCAGATAGCTCATGAAAGGCAAATATGTTATCAAAATTCAATTATAAGGTTTTAGAAATCCAAGCTGTTTTAAGATGTATGAAGCACTGGTTTTGTTCTAATTCTTTAAAAATATTATGCATGAAAAATGGCACACTAGCCCATATGAAATTGATAATGGCAATTCTACAAAGCCCCTCCTATTCAAAGGCCTCAAGTTGAGTTACATAATATTTCTAGTAATCAAAACTGGAAAGAAGCTGAATTTTACAATTTACTCCACAAAAGCCCCCATTTTGCTTATTTGTGGGAAAGGAATGTCTGTCTTTTACAGTTTGTCTTCCCCCACATTCTCCCCCTTCTCTTTTGACCATCTGGCTATAATGATGACCTTCACACCGTATCTCATTCAGACAAACATTCTTTCACACAGAATCCTTCAAAGGTAAACAATGCTGTTTTATATTAAGCAAAATTAAAATCAAAACAATTCACATTGAAGGCCCGGGCCTTCAATCTTAACTTTCTTATTATTTTTGTCAAACAGATTTGTCTTGTTTAATTTCATTGACAGCTTTAAAAAAAAAAGTGTTGAACAGCTCTTTTCTAGAAAGACTTGTACTTTCTGAGAAGACCACCGCTGCATAATATTAAAGCTTCTTGATACTTGCAAGGATTCTTGAGGTTAGACAAAGGAAGCCTGGACTAAGAATCCAAAATCCTCAATCTTACTCCTTCCTTAGAGGCTTTAGACTAAAGAGGTGGGATGATGTGGGAAGGAAGAAACATATAGATAAGCAAAGGAAGCTTGTCTATTTCAAAGTCCTGGAACACATTCAAGATCCACCTGGACAATCTGCATAAGACTTATGCAGTTTGACAAGGAGACATAAAGGACTTAGTGCTAGAAACTCTGAATGCTTTTAAGGGCTTGTCTACAAAAGAACAAGTACAGTGGTACTACTGCACAGCTATGCCTCTAGAACTCCAATGAAGTAATCACTTATGCCGAGAGAGAGGGTGTTTCCCTTGGTATAGGTACTGCACTCACTTGAGCAGTAGCTGGATCAACAGGAAAATTCTCCCATCAACCTACACCAGCAATAGGCAATCTAGGCTAGTAAGGGGGCTGCGTGAATGGCCCTCCATTTCAGTGGGCTGCAAGATTGTCGTAAAGATGATGGTCTCCCAGTATAGGGTAGTTTTGCTAACTGCATTCGCATACCTAGAATTTCTTGGGTGTGACAACTAATTGGATATATAAGGAGTGCATGGTTCTCACAGTTAATGTGTACAATCAGCATACACACTTCACTTCATGGTGCGTGTCACTTCAGTGATATTGGTTTACATCTCACAGTCCAAGAGCTTATCTCCTGGACCACACTGTTTCCCCAGAACAGACGCTCACCACTCCGAAGTGATCCCTGTGGTATATAAATCACAACCACTACAGTAACTTATGTCATACATCTTTAACCAGCTCACCTGCACTTCTCCCTCTAATCTATTTCTACCAAGACTACTTGTAACAATATAAAAACTTCTGAATTATTTTAATTTAGCAGCCACTTTTATGCGGTATGAGATTTTATTGGCACTGGGATTAACTGCATAATTCAAATTACTTCAGTTGAATAAATGGTAGAAGCAGCTTTTTTAAGAAAACACCATTAATAATTAAACTTAAAAAACAACAATGGTCCTGTAGTACCTTAGAGACCAACCAAAAACATATAGACAGTATCATGAGCTTTCGTGGGCACAACCCATTTCTCCAAATGACAAATAATATGAATACAGACTACAAAAACAGAACTGTTTCTTCAGAAAAGGCTATTCAATGTTTACCATGAAATTTCAGTAAGACTTTAAACTTCTCTCCACCTAACTTGTTTCAACTGAACTTAATTCTGATTAAACAGTATGAACAAACAGCTACACACACTCAGATGTGCTGCACAAGGAAGTGGTTTACCTAATAACACAGATTTCATAAAGCAGACAGCAAACTCTTAAGAGAAATCTCCTTAAGTTTACTTGCCATTGTTCCTCCCTTGAGAACAGAGAAGGAGGACCAAATCTTGCTCCACTATAGACTGAGAAGCAGTTCAGCTCCTCAAACCAGCAAGTTTTTGACATCTACAGACTCTGTGCTGCTTCCCTGCCCCCTGTAGCCTTCTCCCAATGCCTAAGTGTAGTAAAAGGAGGAGAGGAGCATGATGTGAGTAGACAAAGCATAGGACTGCATTAACTTTAAGCACAAATTCACCACTGGGATAGCAAGGAGACACTGACTGGAGGTAAACTAGCTCTGAATCATGGTAATGGTTTCAATAAGAACTGGGATGGGGAATACTGCCAAAGAACCAGAAATTCAAAATTAAAAAAAAACCAAAAAACCACCCCCCCAAAAAAACCACAACAACAGAAGTCCAACAATAGGAAAACTAACCCAGGACTCTGTCCCATCTCTCCAAGGAAGTGTGAAGACAATCTGGCAGCCCTCTTGTTTTGCCTAAGAATTCACAAGACGTGGATTTCTTTTGTTCTAACGTCTACTGTTATATTAATTCTAAACCACAACTGGAACACTATTTTTGATGTAGCGATAATTGCCATGTACAGTATAACAATGTATTGCTTAATCTACTATATAAAGTAGAATGTTTGTAAGTTTGTGCTCTAGTAACTTGGACACTATAAGAGCTATCGCAACGAAATTTTGCATGGGATAACCTTTCCTCCAAGAGAAGGTTTTAAGGTACTTTTGGACCCAATCAGGCCCAATCTCAACCCGTAAAGATAAAAAAATAACCCGCTGCGCTGCAGTCCCGCCCACCCCCACGTGCTCGCTGCCTGCAGCCCCCAGCGCCATCCGGGACTTTCCCCATGCCCACGCACACAATGGCTCGGGCACCTGCCCTGCCCCCTGCGGCTACGATTATCAGGTAGTCTTAAAAAACCAAAACAAAAAAAAACCAAAACAGACACACTTGATGATCGGGGTGGAGGGGAGGAACTGGCCGGGAGGGAAGCAAGGCTGGCTGGGGGGGGAAGGGGGGAAGAGGGCCTGAGAAGCAGAGCTGGTGGGAGAGTGCAGGGGCAGCAGGGTTGGCTGGGGGAT